TTTGTTAGCATGATGCACTCGTGAGTAAGCAGACGGCAGACCTCCAATTAAAGGACTAAAAATTACACTATATATGCACTGATAGGGGCAAATCAACTTGGACGGTTGGACCCTTCACGCAGGGTTGGGGTCCAACTTAATATCTGCCCCTATGATAAACCATACATCGAACCATGCTTGCACTTTCAGATTTCATTAGAATTGTTATACTTCAGTATACTGAGAACAGTGTACATCAAGATCACAATCAGACTAGCAAAATACAGAATAAGCAGTACTGCACGTACTAACAAACTCCTACTCACAAAACTCTCAACCATTATGTGTCGATGGAACAAGAAAAGCAGAGTCTTCGAAATCAGCGGCCAATCCATGTGCCAAGCGAATTTCGCTTCCATCACCAACAGTTGACGTCGAACCAAAACCGAAGATAAGTTGAGAAGTGGCTGAGCTATAAACAAGTCATTCGTTAATTTAGATCGTATCTACGCCTTTGCTTACGAACCCCAATCCAATGGAGACAGCACTGCAAGAAAATCGCACCAATATAGAACCTTCAATGCGACGTCTTCAAGATTACTGATGCTTATATCGGTTGCTAAATACTCATTGCAAAAGTGCATTAGCCGAGATTGCTGTATAGCCATAGACTCGTGCTTTGATCTGAATGGGCAGCAAGTACTTTTCCACCGTTCCACGAGAGCTACACGCGCATGCAGAATCCAGTGGGATTTCCTGTAGACAAACGGGACGGCCAGGAGTCCAGGACACAAGAGGGTTCTGTATGTGGGATGCTGCTGGCTGCAGACTTTTTTTTTTTGAAAGGAGGGCAAAAGCTTTGCCTCGTATATTGATAGAGATGGAGAAAATACAGGGCGATAGAATTATGTACAGGGCTAGTCTAAAAAAGAACTAAGCCCGCAAAAGGTGATGGTTAAGTGATATCTCCCAAGATTCCGAACTCTTGAAGCTTAGAGGCTTCTGCTTTGACCCATGCCCGACCTTCCTCTTTTATCTTGGCGAGGATGGATGCCGGTGGCGATGTAGTGTTTCGAAAAATTCTTGCATTTCGCTCACACCATATTTCCCAGGAGACCAAGATCACCAGAGTACGCAGGGGAATGCGGGGGTTGTTGGGAGAATCTACCACAAGGTTCCACCATTGTTCTACCGAGTCGCAATCGCTTCATTTGATCATTTGGAGGTCGGTTTGAGTCCACCTTTGTATTTCTGTCCAGACCCACTTTATAACTCTACAGTGTGCCAGCAGGTGGACTGCTAACTCGTCAATTATGCAGCACAACGGGCAAATCTTCTGGTTTTGCCATCCTCTTTTCTCAAGTCTGTCAGCTGTCTAGAGCCTATTTTGGGTAGCGAGCCAGGAGAAGAATTTGCATTTTGGAGGGGCCCACGCTTTCCAGATAGTTTGATTGAAAGCAGACCTCGTGGCCCCCAGGAATTGGAGCCTGTAGGCAGACTTTGCTGAGTATTGACCATTGGCTGTCAAATCCCAGCGGATGCTATCTTGGTCTTCAGTCAGGGGGTTCATTCTTCTGATCATAGTCCATAGGCGGACGAACTGTTGAACGTGATCCGCCTCAGTGATGCGGAGGATGTAGATGTCTCTGACCCAGTTGCTTTCCTGCAGGGCATCATGGATAGATCCGTTCTTTTGTTTTGAGGCCACATAGATGTCTGGGGTGATTTTCTGAGGAGTTTGGTTCTCTAGCCACTTGGAGTCCTAAAAGCGAGCAGTTCTACCGTTGCCGATTGTTATGGTTGTTGCGGCGGAAAAAAGCTCCCTAACTTCCTGACTGCACGGAACCGCCGTTCCCACCCAAGGCTTCTCTGGGGCCGTCCATTCAAACCATAGCCACTAAAGCCGCAAGGCGGAGGCGAAGCGCTGAAGGTCCATTACTCCTAGTCCTCCCAGGTCTTTGGGCCTGCAGACTCTTTTCCAGTTGACCTTGCATTTCCCCCCAGAAATGTTTTCCCCTCCTGCCCAAAGAAATTTCCTTCTTATTTTATCAATGTCCTCTAAGGTTTCATCCGGAAGCTTCAGGGAGGTTAAGTGGTAAATGGGCTGCGTTGTGAGAACTGTTTTGGTTAAATAGATCCTTGCGGCCGATGACATCATTTTCCCTTGCTAAGGGGCCAGGCGCGATCGACACTTGTCTAGCAGTGGTTGGAGATGGACTTTCTTCAGCCTTCCTACCACTAGTGGTAGTCCGAGATATTTCATGGGGAAATTTGTTAGCCCTGCCGGGAAGATGCTCGTGATGGTGCTGAGGTCGATGGTGCTGCATCGGATTGGGGCTATTTGGTTTTTGTTCATATTGGTTTGGAGACCAGTCACTTTCCCAAAACTTTTTAGGATTTCAGTCAGGCTTGTCATATCCTAGACACTTGGATTGATGAAGATGGCTGCATCGTCAGCATATAGGGAGGTTCTAAATCTTGGTGCTCGTCCTCTAAGAGGGGTGAGAAGTCCCAGATCTGTTGCTTTCTCAAGGAGGTGGTGAAGAGGGTCAATAGCAAGGATGAACAGCAGAGGGGCAAGGGGTCTCCCTGTCGCAAGCCTCGGACGTGCTTTATTGGTGCACCTGGGCAACCGTTCAGCAGGACTCTAGTCGTTGAGGAGACAAGGATGTTTGAGATCCAATTGGTCCATCGAGGGGGAAACCCTTTTCGCTGGAGGAGATCAATGAGGTAATCCAGCCTCACTGAGTCAAAAGCCTTGGAAATATCAAGCTTGAGTAGGAGAGCTGGTGTTCTCGTTTGGTGGAAAGTTCTCGCCAAATTCCTTGCGTACATGAAATTGTCGTGTATGCTTCTTTTTTTGATGAAAGCACTCTGTGCGTGGCTAATGACGGATCCCATGTGAGGCTGTAAGCGGAGGGCGAGTGTTTTGGAGAGCAGTTTGGCGACACCATGAATGAGGCTAATTGGTCTGTAGTCGCCTATGGACTCCGCCCCTTCCTTTTTTGGTATGAGCACCACATTGGCGGAGTTAAGGATAGAGAGATTATTGCTTCGCTGTTGGTCAAAAGAATGTATAACCGCCATGACATCTGCTTTGATTATTTCCCAGCAAGCCTTGTAGAAGGCCCCAGTAAATCCGTCTAGGCCTGGCGCCTTGTCTCCTGGTAATTGTTTTAGAGCTACATGAACTTCCTCCTCGGAAATGGGACCGTTAATCATCGAACAATCCAAGATTGGTAAGTTTAGGATATCCCAGTCTAAGTCAATGGTGCGTTGAGCTGGGCGTGCCAAGAAGGCTTCAAAGTGGTCTTTTATGATGGCCGCTTTCTCCTCGTGCTTGACTCTCCACATATTTCCAATGCGAAGTCTTTGGATGAAGTTTTTCCTCCTTCGAGCATTCATTTTGAGATGGAAGTATTTTGTGTTGGCATCGCCTTCTCTGAGGTTGGTTATTCTGGATGCTTTCTTTTTACGCGCTCTCTCGACGATTGCCAAGCCGAGGACTCTGTCTTTAAGGTTTCTTCTAAGTTGCAGTTCAGGCTAACTGAGGTTTCTTGATTCTTGCGCGATATCTAGGTGGAGAATAACCTCAAGGGCCATATGAAGTTGCAGTTTACTCTGGGAGATGAGATTTCTGCTCCAGGATCTCAAGCTATCGGCCGTTACCCCAAGTTTATGGAAAAGTCGGTGGTGGGCTTTATGGTGTGGCTGCTCCATATTCCAGGCAGTAGACACTACATCTTGGAAGCCAGGCAGGTGAATCCAGAAGTTCTCAAACCGGAAGGTTTTGACACGCGGGGCTTCTCCTTGTCTAGTGAGCAGCAGTGGACAGTGATCCGACAAGGAGGTTGAGAGGGCGTGCAGAAGGTGTTTCTCAAAGGTTGTATCCCAATTAGCGTTGCAAAAGAAGCGATCCAGTTTGACAAGGGTTGGCTTCTCCTGTTCATTGCTCCAAGTGTACCGCCTATTTTGAAGAGCGATTTCTTTAAGTTCGCAGGCGTTGAGGGTTTCTTTAAACATTCGCATCTGCCTAGGGTTGAGATTGGCATTATTCTTGTCTGAGGCCTTGTAAATTATGTTGAAGTCCCCCGCCACCAGCTAGCTTGAGTTATTAGTTGGCATTGTATCCCGCAGTTCCTGCAAGAAGGCTCTCTTTGCACTGTCTCTTGTTGGTCCGTAGACCATTGTGAGCAAGAAGGAGGTTTCGCAGGCTTTAATGAAAACCTCGGCTGTCAGAGTGTAGGTGCCAAGCATAAAATTCGTAAGATCCACCACATCATCGTTCCAAAGAATGAGGATTCCTCCTCTTGTTCCTAGTGGCCCCGTCGCTGGCTTGTAATGAAAGGAACGTAGAAGTCCTCCACCTAAGGAGGCAGCAAGCCTTGCGTCAATGTCGCGCATCTTAGTCTCTTGCAAGCAGGCGATGTGTGGTCTTGCCATTTGTAGCGTTTCTCTCATTGTTGTTCTTCTAGTCGGTCTATTCAGCCCACGAACGTTCCATGAAATGATGTCAACTATTGGGTATGTCATTGAGAACAAAATGACTCGGTTTTCATGCTTGCCGTGACAAATGGGCCGGTCCAGCATGCGTTGTGGGTCTGGGCGAGTGGGCCACCTAGAGGTGGTTTGGGCTGGTTGCAAAGAAGAGTAGAGGAGAGCCTGTTTCCGTGGTGGGCCTGCAGGGGAGGACACATGTTGGTGAAGCACAGTGGGCCAACCCATTTGCTTGTATGAAAAGCCGTCTGCCGGCACGCCGTCGCTGTATGCAGTCGACGGGGAGGGGGCGCCCTCGATCCTTCTTTGTTTGGGCAAGCAGTAAACAGAAGGCGATGGGAAAAAGGATCATCGGCCGAGATCTTTGCTAGTGTCAAGGTACCCAGGATCACTTTCGGCTTCGTCATACCTATGTCGTTTGCCGGCGTCGTCTTGGCCGGCGTCGTTCTCGGATTCGTCAGGCCTTTGTCAGTTTCGGTGAAACTATCGGGGTTCCCGCGAGATCGCCTGTAGGTTACTAACGGTTGGGTGCGGAGTTGCGGCACCGGGGTAGTAGGTTCACGGAATTGCTGCAAAATCAGGGTCGAGTCTCGATACGAAGTGATGCCGCTCGCCGCCGGCACGCGTGTCCCAGTCTCACGCCACAGGAAAGCAAAGAAAAGGGGATACATGGAGAAGAGAGTCTCCAACCATCGGAGCGCAGCTCCTGACTCATGCCGAAGCTGCCAGTTCCTCCAGGGCGCTGCCATCCGTCGGGCCCATGTACTTCACCAGCACCGCATCCGCTGCCGCTGCTCCTCCTTGTTGAGTCCGAAGAGATGTTCAAGCGCGTCGATTGCATCTTGGGGGAGAGGTGCGTTGAACATGGCCTTGAAGTCAGACACCACTTTCTCGGTGAGGATTCCTTCCGGTGGTGTCAGTCCCATCCTGCGACAGAGGTTCAGTTGCGCCCTCAGCGACATCGGTAGGCCGGCTAGCGGCTTCGCAGCCAGCCTTGGACTCCTCCGTCTTCCTTCGCCTGCTGGAGATGGTGGCGCTGGTGTCTGCATCTGCACGACAGGAGAGGGATTCGGCGATGGTGGCGTGGGGAGAAGCGGAGGCTGAATGTTTGCGAAGAGAAGACGTGGTGCCACTGGCGATACCTGGGAGCCGTCGTTCGCATCTGCGTCCGCCATCGGATCAAGGGTGCCGAGGTTGGGCACCGTCATCATTCCGCCGTTGTCGGACATCAGCCCCACCGGGATGTCGTTGACGACAGTAAAAGTCGTGGCCTCATGCTGCAGGGAGATATCCAGCTTTTCCAGCTGGGCGGCCAGCTGCGCGACACTCTGCGTGGCGTTTAGAGCGGGCGCCGGCGCCGCGGTCGGGACGAGCGTTGGCGCCGTTTAGATCGACCTGAGTTCCGACACTGTGGCAAGCTCGTTGATCGCCACTGCTACGCCAGCTGCCACTAGGAGGTTCCGAATAACCCTTTCCGCCGTGGCCGCCATGATTGCTGCGTTGATACAAGCGAAGACTCGAGCAGCAGGGACAGCCGCCTCCCCCATGTCCGCGGACCGGGCTTCAATCCCAGGTGTGCGGTGAGGACGCAGCGGAGGGAGAATAGGGAGCGCCCTCCCCAAGAAAGCCAGGGGCGTTGCCTGTGGCTGTGCAGGGGCCATCGCTGTCTGGGAGACGGCAAGACTGAAAGACAGGGGAGGTGGACCACTGTCGCGGTCGTTGTTGTCGTTCTCCTTGTCACCGCACGTACCTCCTTGGTATCGGCGGCTATCGCTGCGGCCGTTGACGCCATAGTCACGATTGCGGGCTCGTGGTGAGTGCGTACGCTCGCGCCTGAAGTTGGCATCCGCCGCACGGTGACCAGGTCGTCCGCGCGCGATGTCGCGGCCCGCATTGTCGCGGTCTTCGTCGTCGTGCTCGTCTCGCCGCCAGCCCCGACCGCGGTCAGCGTCGGGATGATCGTTGTTGTACTTTCCTTTGCGGTCGCGACGTCTGGCATCATCGCGCCTGTCATCCCTGTCGCCGTGTCGCCCGTCAAGGTCGTGGCGGGCATCGTCGCGCCTATCATCCCTAATGTCGCGTCGTCCGCCGAGGTCGCCGCGGCGCCGGCCATCTTCCCTCGTCGTCTTACTGCCCTGGTCATGGGGATCCCTGGCCAGGGCGCCAGTGTTGTCGTCAACGTCCTCCGCCCGACCGCGCCGGAAGGTGTAGGTCTGCGGAGGTGGCGGATGATGGGGTAAGTTCTCGAAGCGGCGGGGAGGAGGACACTCGCCATCAAGTGCGCGACGCCGGCCGGCAGGACTTCGGATTGCGGAGGTCCACTGCCGCCACCGTGTAGTCGTGGATCTCCTCGATGTGGAAGAGAACCGGGTGCTTGACACCTTGCTGCCAGTGCTCCGGCGGCCGCTCCGAAATTGTGACCGATTCAAGCTGCGGGTCTCGAATTTGCCGTGTGATCATCACCCAAACATGCTTGTGGATGCGGCTTGGATTGGGCGTCCATGCCCACAGCGAAATCACCCGTGTATCGCCAGCATCAACGGGGTGAACGAGGTCGGTCTCCACCGTCTCCAGGGTGCATGTCCTACTGATGATACGCTCAGCAATGTCCGGCGCCCATAGGTGCATCGACACGCCATCAAGGCAGAGCTTCACTCTGTACATGAGTGCCGAGCCGGCGGCGTTCTTCAGGCTACGCCACTGGATGAAATGGACCTCGATTCCACGGGCTTTAGCAAAGCCTTGCTTCACTGCCTCCTCACAGTGGCTTCTGTGCTTGAACTTCAGAATGAAGGCCTCCGGGTGGTGAAGCGTGACGGCCAGCTCGCCGGCACGGAGGCCGAACTCGTCGGAGATGATGCGCTCAACGTCCTTGGCTGTGACCGTTGGAGGGGCGCGCATCGCCCAGGTGACGGCGGCGGTGCTCTCCCATTCGCGCAGCTCAGCATCGATGGCATGGGAGGTTGGGATGAAGAGGACGTCTTCAAGCAGGTGCGTCTCAGGATCTCCCAGCTGCGCCATGACTGCGAAGGGCGGCGGCAGTGGCGGTGGTGGCAGGGACTCTGTTTCTTTGCGGGGTGGTGGCGTGCGGAGTTTGGGGATAGGGGGGGCGTCACAGCGACGGCCGGCAAGCGGGGAACATCGGCGTCTTCTGTCGGCGACAGGGGGGCGACTAGGTGGTGAGGGGGATCTGGCTCTTCTTGGAAGGGCCCGTCGGGTTCTGGGGGGATGACGAGTTGAGGAACGTGGGGATTTGTAGTGTCTTGCTCTGTGCCCAGTGTGATTACACGCAAAACAGCGCGGCGGGTCGCGGCATACCGACGCACGGTGGTCTCGAACGAGACAGACGAAGCAGCGACCTCTAGTTCTTGCCTTGAATTCTTCCAGAGAGAGGGAGACTCGCCGTCCAGCTGTGCGGTCAGTTCCATCTTGTCGCCTTGAATCCAGCCGGTGGCGTGAATGCTCGTTCGTTCTCCACCAGTGTCGGGGGCGTACCGTTGTCCAGCCAGGCTCAGCCGGCTTGAATGCTTTGCTTGGCGTCGTACGCATAGGGTCAGGGCTTCCCGTCCTCTCCAGCTCGTAGGCGCGGCGGTAGGCATCGCGTCGCGGCGAAGGCACAGTAATGGTCGACTTCAATGTCGGGCGCGCCAGTGGTTGAGCGAGCGGCTGAGGGGAGGTGGCGCCGGGTCTAGCTCGGACTACCTCAGCGAAAGAGCGGGGGCAAGCCAGGGGCTCCGGAGTCTCGGAGATGTGGGAGACGCTGCCGGACGGTCTTGGCGATCTAGATCTAGGCGGTGGAGGCGGCGGCGACAGCTCCCAGAACTTACCCATGGAGACTCGCCGCCTGTAGCTGCTGGGAGACGGGTCGACTGGTGGCCAGGACGCAGCCGAGAGCTGCTGCGGGCGACGGAGGAGCTGGGCGCCGCCGGCTGGAGCGCCGGCGGCGGCGTGGTTGGAGCGCGCTGTGGCATTTCAAACTTTTTGTCAATGCCACTTCCTGGCTGCAGACTTGCTGCACGGTAGCGCAGCAGCCCGGCCGTCTGGAGGCAGCTGCTTTCTTGCGGCCTGCGCGTCTCAGAATTTTTTTTATTTTTAATTTTTTTATTAAAAGTTTTACAAAAATAATTTTCTATTTCAAAAATTGATAGAAGTAGTCGCTCGCCGCCCTCTATTTTTAAAAATCGCCCTCCCAGAGGGCGGCGAATGTGACGTGGCAGACGACCGTTCAATGAAATTTACAGGCGGCCCCCTTGCCGCCCTCCGCTAGGGCGATTTTACACTGTGCGGGGGGCCGCCTGCAAATGGGCGGCGAGGGGGGCATGGAAATTTGCAGGCGGCCCCCTTGCCGCCCTGGGGGAGGGCGATTTTACACTGTGCGGGGGGCCGCCTGCAAATGGGCGGTGGGGCGCCTGGAATTTTGCAGGCGGCCCCCTTGCCGCCCTAGGGGAGGGCGATTTTACATTGTGCTTTATTTGAGAAATAGATATTTTTAGAAATAGAAAATTGTTATCAAATCTTTTATATTGAAAACTATACAAGATTAAAATCTCCAAGATTGGTAAAATACAATGTTATTATTTTTTTAGTCTCACGCATATAAAAATTCACCACCATAATTAAACATTGTAATGATAAGATAGATAAGAAGTGCCATCGATATACGGTACAAATTTGTCGATCCCAACGAATCTAGCCTGCGGTAACCTATCGGCCCCTTCTAGGTCGGTCAATATGCATTGCATTCTCGTGGTCCTTCAATCGTTGATACTCTACTTGTATTTCTGACTCTGTTATCTTTTGGCCATGATATGATGGAGTGACATTGTCAATCCATCGAGTAAATCCACACATCGTTGGATTGCCCTGAAAAAATAGTAATGTTATTCAGTTTGGGTAGAAATTTTGTGCAAATCATAGCGGATTTTGGAAACGGTTAGACATACAATGAAATCGTTGTCTACATTGGGGCAGATAAAATATCTCCTTCCAAATGTTTGTTCTACAAAGGAGGTAGCCACCTGGCAGCGATCTTTGCACCCACACTTTGGACGCTCGGACCATTTAGGTAACCCTAATGGATTGTTCCTCCAGTCTAAGCTTGCAATTTCCACCCGACGTTCATACTCCATCCAAGCATGAATGAACTGTATGGTCGGTTCAGGTTGCGTTATCGGCCCGCCACTGGAAGTAACTCTGACTGTGTCAATCCATTGTACGAATTGACATTTCCTTACATCCTCCTATGTACATCCATTGTGGGGATAGTTAAGTTAATGATAGTACTGAGGAGTGATGAAAAGAATAGTTGTAATTACCACGAAATCATCATCGATAATGTTTGGACACACGAAACACCTTTGTCCTCGAGTTCGGTGCCTTACGGACCTTATGACCTGACAACGGTCACCACAACGACAGTCAGGACGCTCACGCCACGTGGGGAGTCCTAGGGGATTTACCTGCCATTCTAAAGCCTCAGCAACAATTCGACGTTCATGCTCATCCTTCCGCCTTAGGTAGTCCGATCTTGTTTCACTATGTGGGTATGCACGTGTTCTATCGTTTTGTGGGTTCTCCATGTCTACCCACTCGATGAAGTTGCACATTGGACGATATGTCTGCGTAAGATGTTACAATTGTGTACGAAGAAGTTAGTTTTTTATCCATTTGAACTTCGAATAGATGAATCATACCTGATCAAAGTTCACGCATTGGAAGAATCTCCTGCCCCGAGTTTGTATCATGGGGGAAGACTTGAGTATGCATCCATCCCCACAATCGCACAAAGGACGGTCACACCATGGTGGAAACCAGCCAGTGAAAGGATCGCTTTGCCAGTTGAGACGCTCAAGGAATGGCGCTTCCATTCTCGTTAGTTGTGTGCTAGTTGGAAAGAAGATATGAAGAGGTTGCCTTCAGCTTGTCAATTATATAGCGTCGTTTTTAGTGCAATATATGTGCACTCAATGAGATACATTATTCATTAGATGTGACAAGACGAGCACGCGCGGGCGTGATTCACTTTATGTCAGCAGGCAGCGCCGAAAGTTGATAGTGACTACTCGAGTTGGCGCTTTTCATGTGTGCTGTGGTGGACTGTGCGCGCTAGTGGATCTGACACTACCGTGAAGCGCCGAAAGTGTGTTGTCGTGAGCATAAGTTGTTCTAGCACCATATGAATGAAAAGAACTATATAGGCGAGAGAAACACAAGTAGTACTGCAGTAGTAAAAGCAAAAGTAGTACTGCTTTACAAGTTTGTAAGCCAAAAGAAATGGTCACATAAGCACTGAAGAGGTAGAACACTACTGACGAGGCCTCTTACCCCTGTCCCTCCTACCCTGCGCCCTAACGTGCCCCTTGGAGTACGTGAGTCGATCCGGTGGTATGGCACGACCAACCCGTCCTGCCTGTACAGGTGTGACCTCTGGCTGCTCCTGAGTGTGCGCCTCTGGAGCTCCTCCAAGCTGAGAGGAGCCTAGTATGTCGTGGTCGTGCGCACCGTGCAAGTCATCGTCGTAGAACTAGCTAGTAGGACCAGACCTATCGGCGTGAGACGAAGAGGCACCAGTACCGAAGATCTCGGCTGGAAATCCTGCTGGACAAGGACCATCAGTTTCATACAGGTATTTAATAGTATTAATAAAAATTAAAGTACCGTTTGAGCGAGGGATCGACGTTCCATGAGAGGAAAAGCTGGCGAACGTGCCCGAAGAGGTGGCGAACGCGCCGAAAGTGCTGGCGAATGCCCCTGCGGAGCTCGCGGAAGCGCCGGCCGTGCCTGCGAACGCGCTCGAAGGCAGACGAGGTCCTGCGATGATGAAACGTGCAGTTAAGAAGTGGTGATGTATTCGTGCAAAAGCTGAAACAAAAATGAACTAACCTTTGGGTTGAGCAGTACCGTGCGAAACCGGTGCTGTAGGTCGCACTGCTCCGACGCTAGGGGCGCTCGAAGGCAAACGAGGTCCTGCGAGGATGAAACATCAAGTTACGACGGGGTGATGTTTTCGTACAAAAACAGAAACAAAACTTAAAAAACCTCTGGGCTGAGCAGTACTGTGCGAAACCGGTGCCGTAGGTCGAGGTCCTGCTCCGACGGTAGGCGCGCGAGGCCGTGGTTGTACCGGACCAGCTGGAGGTACGACGTACACGGCGTTGCGACAGGAGAAGATGCGCATGACCGCACGCATATTCTCCTGCATCCAGTCGAAGGTCACCCTCTGCTCAACGTTAGTCAAGTGCAAACCTCTGTTCAACCTCACTTGGATTGCGGTGATATCGGCACTGATATCCCGTGCGGCATTGGCCTATGCAAGATGGAAATAAAAAATTCAGTAATTGTCCTATATTATGCAAGATAAACGAAATAATTGTAAGAACTAATACAAATTCGACGTACCCCCACGAAGTAGTCTCGGTCACGGTGCGTGGGATACGCGTCCGTGACAGCGGCAACGTGTGGCTCTGGGACGTCTGGAGTGAAGGTCACACGCGCACGAGTGCGAGGAAGGTACCAGCGGAGGTAGTCACGGTAGTTCTCCTCTGTGTGTGGGAAGAGCTCGTTGATCACCTCCTCTGTAGCTAACACCCAGTCGTCAACGTACTGCTGTACACGTGGAGCCCAAAGTGCACCTGCTAGCTGTCCCCGTCGAGTCAACCTGTGAAGAGAGGTAAATTATATGGCTCGACGAAGTAATTAGCATAAAAATTTTGAAATGAACAATCCGAACTCACGAGTGGTCGGCAGGGAGGACGGTCGGCTCCACGTTGCACGGAAACACCTGCCTCAGTCCGAACTGTCTCATCACACGCTGCGGGCAGTGAGGCTCGACGAAAATGTCGAACACCATCAGCAGGATGGTGAGCCAGTAAGCTTGGTCGCGTGTGCACAAGGACGAAAGTCCTAGCGGTGCTCTCGCAGCGATGGCCTCTTCTGTGTACGGCTCCTAGATGACGTCGCTCGGCTGGAGACGGTCAAACTCAAACACAAAGTCCGGGTAACCTCGTCTCACCTGGACGTGAGCGTAATGACACTGCAATAAACATGATCGGAATTAGACATGTTATGTGATGATAAAAAAAGAAGACGACCGATAAACTTATGACGTAGCAAAGTTGCACTAACCCCACGTCGACACCTATAAGTCCCCATCGTGGGACCGTCCTCTAGCCACTGCGCGCTACGACCAACCCTGTAGGGTGCGCTGCCCACCACTGGTCGACCTATGGCAAACCTCTCGGCTGCCCAAAGCTGAAGCAACATAGGGCAACCAACAAAGATCACTCCCGCGTCGGTCTTCGTGCACGCCTCACAGAGGGCACGGTATGTGGTTGCTAGCACGGCAGAACCCCAGCTCCACTACGGCACATCCTGTGGCTAAGCATCTGCGATGGACCGTGCGTAGTGGACTACCGGCAGTCCACAACATGCCCGTGGGTGCTAGTGAACATCACCCACCCGAACAACCACAACACGTATGCCTCAAGGGAGCGTCGGACCGAGTAATCATCAGCCTACAATTAAGAATGAAATGTTAGTACAAAACAATCTGTTGATTGCAAAATAAGCATGTATGATAATAACAAGTTATTTACTTACAGTGAACTGAAGCAACCAAGCCTTGCTAGGCCTAACGGTAGAGTACGGGGGAAGGGTCTTGGGCGGTCCTAGGTGTGGAAGGCGCATCACGTGCTCGAAGCGCGCAGTGATATCCTCCTTCCAGCCAAAAACACCGTCCACGGGACCAACTGGGGCTCCTGCCAGTGGTAGCCCGAGCAGGTACGACACGTCCTGCAGTGTCGGAGCCATCTCCCCACAGGGAAGGTGGAACGTGTGCGTCTCAGGTCTCCAGCGGTCTACCAGAGCGGCAAGGAGTGACCGGTCTGCGTCCCACCGCTTCGCTGGTCACGGACGTCCGCCGCCGCCTCAACAAGCCTACAAAGTGGTAGAAGGCCTGCCGCACGCAACCTGCATAGAGCAAACTTTAAACATAAGTACAAGACAAAGCAAAGTTGAGTTGAAATGTGAACATACGCGTACCAAGGAACGTGACGGGGGTCGACACGCAACCACTCGCGCGACGTGCGTGGACGGAAGGTGCCGAGCTGTGCACCCTCGACTGCTGACAGGAACGAGCGGTGGTTTCTGTCAATCCCACGGTTGAACAGCGCCGGTGTGTCGTACGCCATACCTGCATCCAATAGATTGATCAGAAACATAAAAATAATTAGTTCAACATAACTAAGAAATGTTCATAAGTGAATTACTAACACATATTAAACAAGAGTAAAAACAAACAAAAGTGTCACAATACGGAATATTTCTGATTACAACAATGACTGCAGTTACACGATATGAGTACTTAGTCCGAACACTCATCACGATAACATTATGATACAACACCGAAGAGTTCACAATACTACTAGTACAACAATAGTCGGAGGTACTCATTACAACAACATTCATTGAAATTACACGATAGAAGTACTTAGTCCGAACACTCATCACATCACAATAGCATTTTATTACCTAAATCGATAGCAATGTTACACCATGGAATCGCCTGCTGCATGACGACGCCTTGGCCTTGCGCGCCTGCTTGTTGTTCCTTCACCAGGTGGTCGCCTTCCATCACTTGCCTATCCAGATGGACCAGCATCCACGCAGCTTGGAACTTCTGCATTCTTCGGGCATTTCTTGTAAGTATAGCCGCGCAGATCACACTTACTGCAGCGTAAAGTCCTCCCACCTGCTTCTGACTCATCCATATCATTTCTGATGCGTCTAGTTTGGCATCAACCCTTTTTCATCCTTAACTTAGATGGATCTGGAATATAAAAAACTTTGGCACTCAGCGTTGTGTAAGATCCTGAGATCCCGAACCCATATATCTCCTCACTCCATATATGAAAGATTGCTTCTTTCCTGAAATAATTTGAGACGTACACATTGGGAAATATGCCACAATCACCGGCAGCAGCAAGAACGTGTGAGCAAGGAAGGTGATGAAGCTTTGGCTTAATACAACTGCAGGTACATCCACCATCCGCCTTCAAGACACATTCCTGCATGGCTTGCTTGCGATAGATACCACGTCTGCTCCTATCAACACACATTATTTCATACCGATGCACTTGTGTGCCTTGAGCAACAACTCTATGTCTCCGTGCCTTTTTGATTTTATCTTCCATGTACTTTGTCACTACGTTGCCAAACACTATGTTGTTATCGGCCATGGACGGACCAATTTTCTTGTATCGATCCCTAAAGTAGGCTTGCGTGCCGTGAAGGATGAATTCAACAATAGCAACCAATGGAAGTACCCGAACTCCTCGCATTACCCGGTTGTACACCTCTGCCAAATTGGTTGTCATTATGCCATACCGAGATCCATCAGTGTCGAACAATAGAGACCACTTCTCCTTAGGCTCATTCTCAATCCACTGAGTGAAATTTCTGATGGACGACCCCGACCTCCTTCTCATTGTTGGTGGGTCATCATGTAATGCACCAAGAGGTATGGGAGGCTCGTCACCTTCAACTTGTGGTCTGCGAGATTGCTCGTCTATTTGCTTCGTTGTCAACTCATCCAACTTGTCCCACAACTCATTAAATTTCTTCTCTTGGTTCTGTGCACAGAGCCTCTTAAAGAGCTCCATAAGATGCTTGTTCTTGAATTGCTTGTAGAAATTTGTACCCATGTGATGCATGCACCACCGACTCCAAACATCAGGCCACTTAGCTGGAAGTCCCTTCTCATCCCAACCGTTCTGCAAGTAGTCAATAGCCCGCAACATACCCGCATGACGATCATGTATAAGGCAGACGTTGGGCCTCATACGCACCACTGCAATGTGCACTCTCTCTAGGAACCAGTACCAGCTTTCAGTGTTCTCATTCTCTACAAATGCAAAAGCCATAAGTAGAACCTAGTTGTTCCCATCACACCCAATTGCTGTCAATATCTGACCTCGGTATTTACCTGTCAAAAATGTTCCATCTATGCATAGAACAGGTCGACAATGCACAAAAGCATTGATGCAAGCACCCAATGAGAAAAAGGCTCTTTGCAGCACACTCTTTGTTCGATCATCAGCCGATGTAAATGTATGTAGATCATAGTAAGTATTATTATTCCTCTGGGCAATGGTGGCTAACAGACGAGGCAAATTATCATAAGAAGCTTCAAATGTGCCATACTTCATCTCAATATTCTTTTGTTTGGCTCTCCAAGCCTTTGCATAGCTTATGGTGTACTTGAATTTGTTCTCGATGTGGCTAATAATTGATTTTGGTTCAAAGCCAATGTTACCAACAACACTGCTGTACATCTCACTTGCCACAAAAGCTGAAGTGATGTTTCGGTGATACTTCTCCACCCCTTGTAAGTAGCACTGGTGCTCGGTCACAATGCTAACTTTCCAATAATCATTCCATTTACCCTTATATGCATGGACACGCCACATACAATCTTCCTTCATGCACCTCACTTCATACACATAATTTGTTGACTTGACCACCCTAAACTCTCTCTGCAAGGAAACTGCCCAATGCTTCACCGCCTCCTTCATCTCATCCTTATGAGCATACCTAGCACCCTCAATTACCTCGTTCTCCTTATACTCCTAGGGTACATGATCACCCTCTGATATAACAAGTCCAGAGACGTCCTCATTTGCCCAATCAGTGGCCATTACATCACCTTCCTCATCGGATGATGCGTCGTCCTCCGCTTGCTCATTATCCAAATCTTCCCTCTCCATTTCATCAACAATTATACCGACTCTCTCCCCCTCATCCGCCATGCCCATGGCCTGATCCTCCCTTGGTTGATTTTCCTCATTTTGCATCGATGGTCCAACAACATCCCCTGCATTGCTAGGACCCTCCACATCTTCGGTTTGCATTGAAACATTTGTATCTTTCTCTTGTACCGACACAAATATAACGAGGGGCCATGACCGTTCAAAAGCCATTTCCACATACCGTCTCTAAGCAGCAGTGCTGTCCATCGGCATTAGTTCCCAAAAGTAACCTTCTGTTGCACGACTCATTACAACAGATACTGACATTGTGTAGACTTCTTGGTCTATTCTAAATCCTCTCAACAACCAACTATGAATTGACTGAAATGTTCTCTCCGCAGGCCTATCGATGCCCTTAGATGTCATTACAAAATCTGACAGATCAACACCATCTGGACCAAATCTAATATTTCCTTCACCGTGAACTATCTGAAATGTGACCTTATTTGACATTGTGCCTGATGAAAACAATAACTACGTTAACCTCGCATTTCTGTACTACGCACTAAGTTACATTCTCTACAATATTGTTCTCCAAAATTCTAAAAGTAGGTTACGTTCTCCAGATCAAACTAAACTACATCTTACAATTAACACTACTGTCTATGTCTCAATTCATACTATTATATTCTGTGCTCTGGATCTACACATATGTGCTGTGTGCTACAAATCTGCTAAAATATATGGAACTAAAACTAAAACGCAACATATAGTACTCAAACATAACATATTAGTACAAATGCAAAAGAGGTATGGGAGCAAACCTATGATGAAGTGAGCGAACCAGCAGGGCTTCGCCGCTCCCCTTCTGCTGCCCTCCCCTCTCACTCTTTCGTTTTTTTTTGGATTTTTAGAGACTATAATGAAATTTCAGAGAGGGGAGACAGGGTTATATTGGGGGAGGCAAAAATCGCCCTCCCCCAGGGCGGCAAGGGGGCCACCTACAAATTTCCATGCCCCCTCTCGCCGCCCATTTGCAGGCGGCCCCCCGCACAGTGTAAAATCGCCCTAACGGAGGGCGGCAAGGGGGTCGCTTGCAAATTTCATTGATGGCCGTTGCCCGAGAGCGAACGGTCGTCTGCCACGTCACATTCGCTGCCCTCTGGGAGGGTGATTTTTAAAAATCGCTCTCCCAGAGGGCGGCGGGCGACTAATTTTATCAATTTTTGAAATAGAAAATTATTTTTGTAAAACTTTTAATAAAAAAATTAAAAATAAAAAAAATTCCGCGTCTCACCGCTCGGGAGCCGTAACTCGTAAGCCTAGTGCGCGTGCCGGCTGAGATGCGCGTGGCCCGTGGGCCGTACGTGTGGACCGTGAGGATGGATAGAAATAAGTCCACTTTCAGACCAGTGTTGTTCCCCTTGCATCCCTTGCTATCTTGCTATTTTAGATGGGCCAATTGTATAACTGCCACTGAGGTTGTTATTTGTTAATATGCCTTTTTTTTCCGTAATTGCTCATATATTACTGTTTCTTTTGGATTTATCAATATATCAATATGTTCGTTTCTGCTGATGCGGCTAAGTCAATGGTCTTTGACTGGCTCTATAACAATCATACCCTTTTTTTTAACATAAACCAAACAAATACATTTTTTTCTCTTCCTATGTGAATAGCTTCTCATCAATTGTCTGTTAGCTTATCAATCATATTACAATCAAATTTAAATTTTAGAACTTAATTTTGATGTTGTTTCTCATATCCTATGTTTCAGCATTACATCTTAAACCATATAAATAACACAGGTATAAAAGTTTTTCCACCGATAAATTATTTTTGTTAATTTGTTTTTTTTTTCGTGGCTTACGTATCGTAGCTCAGACGAACAGAGAGAGATACATCGGCAGCCTCCTTGCTCCCATATTCATGGCATAGCGACTGAAAATGAAAGCCAAAGTGAAGAGGATGTCCCTGTGTCAAGATGATCTTGTCTTCTTCTTCAACTTCGCCGAGAAACCCCAGCATTATTACCAAGTGTCTCCGGCGGCTAGCACTACTAGATCCGGTCACCACCTCCAAACCACCCTCAAATTAATTTCCATTACCCCACTGCCTACCAGGGTTAATTTACAAAACCGTGTAGTTATTACGTAGTTATCATGATGATTATTATGCATGGTAAACTTTTCAGTTTTTGAAACCACGTTAGATCTTGCGGTAACCATCATTTCGTGGGATGATAGTAACCCTACCCAAACGGCCGGTTTGGTAAACCCTGCTGCTTACCCTAGTACCCCGCCCATCACCTACTTTCCACCCCCACAGCTTCGCTTCTGTCTTGCGCTCCAAACACCATCAATCAACCGTCTCTCCAAGCCTAGCTACCTCTAAATCCAAGAACCCACCCCTCTTCCATTTCCCCCAAGCCCTGTTCCCAACCCTCAATCCTCAACCCCACATGAGTTTAGTTTGTTGCCCCTGCCATTGCTGCATCGTCCTCAGGGTTCATATGCTCAATACGGAAGAGGGTCTGGCAGGCCAATAATCTTTGCATGGATCGAAAAGTCAGAATTTAACTGTTCTTTCAAAAAAGATCAGTTCACTGTTGTATAGTAAATCCCTACTCCGGGTATAATTTTATTTCATAACTAGCATTGTTGCAACTTAGTTTATAGAACTAACAGTTGTAGCTTAATTTATTCTAATCTGATCTCATGTCTGGCGATGTGTTGGTAATTGATTAGTCCTTCTTAGGGTCTGGAATGAAAATGCTGATGTTTCTGTTGTTCACCTTCTGAAGGGGCCTTGCGTTGTTCTCATAACCCTGTGGAGTAAAGAGTAAAGAATCATCACCTCAAATTATTGCAACGAAAATATTTATTCTTCATGAGGGGTACGGTTTTGTTCTATAAAGTTTCCTATTTTGCAAACTACAAGAAATTTATGTGTATTTTAAGTACAAGTCTAAAAATATTCTTTCAATCGGGAGTGGATTTTAAGCCATCAAATTTTAAGCCGTCAAGTGCATGTATTATCTGATCAATGACTTTGTGCCTAACGATAGATACCGAAGATGTAACTCGTTTTCATTATTAAAATAAATTAATTACATGCATTTCCTCTTATCTATTTTTTACTTTATCCCTCTATTTTATAACCCCCAATGACCATAAAATAGAATTTCAACCAGATATACACTTTTGTGGGTGAAAATTTAGGGGAAATCAAAACTCACGTCAGCCACGGCTTCCCTGAGAAGATCAAGCTGATACTGTGCCACAGTCTGGGCCTGTAAAGAAAAATGAAAAGAGGAAGATTGGATTTTTAAGATCCGTTTAACATCTGAAATCGAACATGACAATGAGAGAAGTAGATGGACACCTTTTCTTTTTTACCAAGGTACCGAAAGCTTACCAAAAGAAAAACCTATAAAATTATTAACGTGAAATGAATTTATGAAATGTCAAGCCTACCCTCTTGAAAACCGTCCAGATCACTCCCTCCGTGCAAGGCGGTGTCGTGAGGGAGCCCATGTAACGATAGTACACGGCGTCTGGGCTCTTGGCTAGCTGTGGATCCACCACACCGATCGGCTCTGACTTATCTTTTGTATCTGCTATCCTTCTAATGAATGGCTCCAGCTACAAGAACAAGATAACACCCATTGGTTTTCGTCAATGACCAATAAATATGTATAATCATTACTAATTATTATGTGCTACTTCCTCCCTCAGTTGTGAATATATACCAATTATAACAATCAGTTAAAATTGTAAGATTTCGACCATTAATTTTATATTAAAATAAATTTATGAAATATATTTATGATACTATTAAAATAGTATAATTTTAAAAAAAAATCTATGTATGCAATTTTGTTTGTGAAACTAATGGTTATAAAATTTTAAAAGTTTAAACATCAAATATTTATAACAAGATTGACAGAGTCGCAGTTAAACCGGCAAAGTTGCCGTAGCAATTGCGAGTGCTAATCAAACAAACCATGAGCAGGAAGGGGTCGGGGTTGCCGATTTGGTAGAGATTGCCGATCACCGCCGTGTTGCTGTTGCCGTCGTCGTGTACAAGGTGCAGCTCCATGTCATACCTGCACGCACGGGTACTTGTCGATGAGCATCGAACTGCGGCGCCGCCGGCGATGCGATCAAGCAAGCGCCGCCGTGAACGGAGAGGCGGAAAACGTATACCTGCGGCCGTTGACGGTGTGCTCGGAGGGCGTGTGCCAGTGCAGCTGCTTGAGCTTGTACGCCTTGCCGTTGATCACCACTCTCCCGGCGTTTCCCATAAACTTCACCTGCGCATGCAGCATGGATCATCATATCGCTTCGACACACAACTACTCCTAAGCAATCCTATACACTAGCTTGGTATATGAAAATTAATTAAGGAATATAGGGAGGCAGCACTAGTACTAGTAGTGTGTGGTGGCTATCAGGTTTAAATTCCGGTATCCACGAATATTACATATATAGGTGAGTTTTCAACAGAATTTTAGTGAGACCAAAAATATCTCGCTGGTTTCCGTATCTCTTCAAGCATATGTTAGGGGATATATTCATGGATGTGTGTGTAGAAGTGTGTGTGCGTGTGTATTCGTCGTGTAATCCAAAAAAAAAGAAAACTAAGGAATCTAAATCTATCTATTATGTATTATTAAAACAGCTTTAAAAGAAAGTACCACGTTCGCTGTGGGGGCTAGAAATTCTCACATTAATCGGAGAAAAAGAAAAGAAGAGTCCAAGTAGAAATACAATTCAAAAATAGCTGAAATTCGGAATTAAAAATAAGCAACATTGAAAGAAGTATCCATATAAGAACCCAATACGAGATTAATCAAAATTTAAAATAAAAATAAAATAAAATCTAAAATTAGAAAATAAAAAGAGAGTCCAAGTAGGAATATAATTTAAAAATAACTGAAATTCGGAATTAAAAATAAGGAATATTGAAAGAAGAGTACATAGAAGAACCCAATACGAGATTAGTTAATATTCAGAATAAAAATAAAAATAAAATCCGAAATTAGCAAAAGAAAAGAAGAGTTCAAGTAGGAATACAATTTAAAATTAACTGATATTCGGAATTAAAAATAAACAATATTGAAAGAAGAATCCATATAAGAACCCAATACTAGATTAATTAAAACTCAAAAAAATAATATCCAAAATTAGAAAAATTAAAAGAGAGTTCAAGTAGTAATACAATTTTGAAACAACTGAAATTCAAAAATAAAAAATAAAAATATTAAAAAAACACTATACAATTTATAAATAACTAAAATTGGTGATAAAAATAAAGATTATTGAAAAAGAAGACCATATAAAACATACGACGAGATAAATTAAGTAACAAGCCTATAAAAGAGAAGAGTGGTGGTGGTTGATTGTTAGTAAAACACCAAATAGAAACCTAATGATGATTAAAAGGAGGGACGATAGGTAGGCCGTGAAGCAAACGGGTAAGGTGGTTGCTGGAACTTTTAGAAAGTAAAAAAAAAACCATTGATAATCATATTCAATTTTTAAAATCTCAATGACAATAAAAAAGAGAAGCAGCGGGGAGGGTGTATAGGAGTATAGTTGCAGAGCCGCCGACGGTTGGCAGGACTTCTAGAAAATAAAAAATGAATTCCAACGATAGTTATGCTCGATTTTTAAAATCCCAATGACAATAAAGAGTAGGCGGCGGATGGGTTGTAGAGGAGTATAGTGGCATCGTTTAACGTGACTTCTAATAATTATAAAAAATAAAACTCAACAAGACAATAAATTCTAAAAGCTACAAGGTCCAATTTTAAAGATTTGGAACTTCTAAAAATTAAAAAAAACCAATGATAATTATGCTTGATTTTAAAATCTCAATGGCAAGAAAGAAAGGAGACAACGGGCGAGCCATAAAGGAGTACAATGGCAAAGCCGCTCACGGTTTGGAGGGACTTATAGAAAGTGAAAAATAAACTCAAACGATAATTATGTTCGATTTGTAAAATCCCAATGATAATAAAGAGAAAATACAGTGGACGGGCCATAGAGAAGTATAATGGCAGCGTTTGACGGGACTTCCATAAATTATAAAAATGAAACCCAACGAGATAATAAACTTAAAAACCTATAAGATTCTATTTTTAAAGGTTTCAAGGAGAAAAAATAGAAATAGTGGTAGACCGAGCAAGCAAATAAAGAAGGATATGACAGAAATAAGGGGTAGCAGCTGGTGTGACTTTTAAAAACTACATAATTAGAAATACGGGGATGATACGGGGATAGCTATTTAATAAATTTTAAGTAAAAACATGCTGAATAATATATGAATTTGGTTGAGTGTTAGCCGCGTAATTGCGCGGACCAGCCAACTAGTTAAGCTGAAAATACATTGTTACCTCGATGTCATGGCCGCGGTTGACCATGGAGGCCTCGGCTGGGAGGTAGGAGTAGTCGAGGTAGCCGAGGTTGCGCATCAGGCGTTCGTGGGAGAGGTCGATGGGCGACTGCATGTTGCCCGTGTTGCACTTGGCCCATCTCGGATCGAGCCTACTCCAGTTCCCCGGCCCGTTTTCCGTGCCGGGGACGTAACCAAACTTCCTTTCATCGTCTACAATAATAACATGATAAGTTGATCTTATTCCAAAAAACAACATGATAAGTCGTGGATGACATCCTCTTAAGAGGCAAAAATATATATTCGTATATATGTGCGGCCACGGCTCATGTGTATATACATGGAGGGAGCTAGCAAAGTGAGGTTATTACCGGTTTCCTGAGCTCTGGCCGCCGGAGCAGCCGAGAGCAGGAGTACGGCGGCAGCGAGGAGGAGGCGAGCTCGAGTACTCGAATGCATGTTTGGGAATTAGCTTGTGTTCTGTGCACGCTGCTGATGGGAATATATATGCATTCAGGATGTACTAGCGGCGAGCTAGCTAGCTAGCTAGAATACGCTTGTGTACACTGTTACGTCGGGAGAACGCTTCAAACCTGCTACGTACGGCCACGTAATGTACGTACATGTAAACTCAATTTGGTTTCGTCTCTCTCCTGGCGGCACGGAATCGATCGAAGCAGAAGATATGTGTGCTTCGTGTCAATCGATCGATCGATAAGTTGTGTACATGGCGTACGTGCTTGTACTGATCGATCGTAATTGGTGTCTAATCTTTTCCCTTCTTAATTCAAGCGGGGACAATTTGACAAATTAAGTTGGAAACTCTGTTAATTCGATCAATGACTGAGATTATCCAGAGAAAATCGATCAAATCAGATCCTTAATTAATTGCGTACGTACGTACTCCGCGCTTGGTTCCTTGTCGAGACTACACTTGCTGACTTAACCACAGTACGTTGATCGAGATGACATTAATTGCAGATCGACAATTTGCTCATTGCTCTCGCCAGCGCCGTATACTCCAGCGAAAACGATCGACCCAACAGTCTTCGTCGTCGGCTCGCCAGCGTCATGAAGGCTCACACGAAAGGTTAGAACAAGACTAATAATGAATTAACGGGATTGCCAGAAAATCGAAACCCCAATCATGCAGATTTTAGACCGTACGATCTGCTCTGAGATTTGTGCACATTGACTTTCTCCCCCGTTCGGGCAAGCTTATTTATATCTAGTGATGATGGTGGCAACCCTGACCCAGTTAGTATTGGGGGTCGGTAAATCTAATAGGAGAGGTCTCTCCAATTAGTCTTAACCAGAGATACCCACGTGCTAGTACTTAATCCATTGAGTAAGTAGGAGAAATATTTCTATCATCTATGCTTCAAATAAAATTTTCTTTTAAATTACTCATCCGATTACACCGTTGTGTTCGTAATAATTAAATCTTTACAACAAGATCTCACATGATTATATTTTGATGAAAAATCATAAATTACTTTTATAATATGTCTAAATTACTTTTAGATTTCACTAAGTTACTTCTTAGACATATATAAGTAAATTCAGTAAAGCCTAAAAGTAATTTACATATATTATAGAAGTAACTTATAACAAAAAGAAAGTAACTTTAATTAATGCCTTTTTTCATTGAACAAATTATCATATATATATATATATATATATATATATATAATTTGTGCTGATTAATTTAATTTCTAGATAGAGTCATGTTTTTATCTCTACAACGGATGTACTTCAAATGACATGCCAAAGTTACCTTCGTTTTGTTCTAAGTTACTTCTATAATATATGTTGTCAACGTTTGATGTCGCGATTCCGGTATTTGCATAGTATGGAGATCGTTGGTATTAGGATATACGCGAGACTGAGGTAAAAAAGACGGAGACAGGGATTTTTATACAGGTTTGGACCCCTAATCGAATTGTCAGGTAATAGCCCTACATCCTGTTGGCCGAAGCCGGTATTGCTCTTATTCATCATAATCACACCAGTACAATATTTGGGGTAGGCTATCTAACTATTGTCGACATGGCGGTCTGAAGGTCTGACTCGTAGTCGACAACAGGGTAGTCTTCCTCCTCGAATCCGTGCCAGACGAGATCAGAGATAACGCTTTCGTCTCTCCTGACAGTATCCGGAGGCACCGTAGGGGACTAGCCGTGCTTATCCCTGAAGTCGATATCCGTCGTCTTGTCTTGGCGTATGTTGGCTTCTGTTGTTTCGTAGATTGTGGTGGGTGTCGATTGTCCCTGTTGAGTGTCTCCTCTCCTCCTAGGGGGCCTTATATTTATACCCATAGGTGTCCCCTTGTCCAAGTAGAACTATGGAAACCAATATGGATACAATCCGAGTAGTCCTTGTCGTTTCCATGTAGAACTCTGGTTGTCTTTTCTTATCCGGAACTCTCTCGATGTCAGTTTCCGTATAAGACATGGTATGTTGTGGGTCCTGCCGAGATTTAGTCAACTACTATTAGGTATGTGGTATCCATAACCCTGACATATGTAAATTACTTTTAGGTTTTACTGAATTTACTTTTATATATCTAAGAAGTACTTAGTGAAATCTAAAAGTAATTTAGACATATCATAAAAGTAATTTATGATTTTTCATCAAAATATAATCATGTGAGATCTTGTTGTAAAGATTTAATTGTTACGAACACAACGGTGCAATCGGATCGTAGATCGGATGAGTAGTTTAAGAGAAAATTGTATTTGAAGTATAGGTGGATGGTGTCTCTTATAGACGGAGTGGTAGCTGGTTTAGACAAACCAGCTACCGCTAGCTGTGTAGTTACGTCCATTGGGGGTGAGGTCATGGTAGGTGTGGGGGACACAGTACCTCGGTATCCTACAGGAAGCCTTCGGGCCATCGCGTCGGGTAGGCCGAGTTGCCTAGGACCATGAGGCCATTTGTAATATGTGGAAAGGAATAATCAGCAATATAGCTTATCTCGTATCCTGTAAATAAATGGTATGCACCCGGATTATAAGGGATATCATATCATACATGCCATCATATCCATTAATTTTATATAAGGGGCGTCAGCATGAACCCTAAGGGGTTATGCACTCATCCATTCACACCCAACATAGATACAATCCACAAACAACTGGACTAGGTATTACTTCTCATCGATGGTCTAAACTAGTATAAACATCTGTCACTATCTCTCCCTGATCTCATACACCCTATAAATTATATTGCCGATCATAAAAATCCACAGTGGAGGAAGGTTGGCGGAAGGGAAAGAGCATAATGCGAAAAACCAAACCGATGTGTGATCTGACCTCTCAATGCACCAGCCCAACTGGTAAGCCGGACAGTGGAACCGTAGTTCATTCACTACATATATGTAGTGTATGTTTTCATCTTAGCACAACTAGTAGAGGTGCTCCGGCTTAGCTGTGGAGGCTTTTCGACATATAGACCGGGGGTCCCACCATCACATCTTTTTTTTTTTGAGGTTTTGCTAAAACTGTCTAGTTCGATCGGTCCACGTACGACGGTCTGAATGCACGTGCCTTTTTTCAATCCAACTTTACCATGGCAACCTCTCTAGATCTAATTCTTTTCTTTTTAACCGTCAGCGACTTAGCGTGATTCTTTTTAAAGCTGTGGTGGAAGAAAGGGAATTTCTTCGGGTTTAAAAAGATGACCATGAGAGACGACATAGTGGCATGGCATCTCTGGTGGCTCTCTCATGAGGGAATATGGTGAGGTAGGGTTGTCACATCGCCGTCAGCTTGAGGATGAGAGGCAGGGAGGGGAAAGGGGGAGGGGGAGGTTTGGCTGGCACTGGTGAGACCAAGCGAGGGTGCAGTAGCGGAGACCGGTGGTGGAGAAGTGGTAGTGCCTGGGGTAAGGAGTGGAGGGGTTAGAGTTTTGGGTGGGTTGGGGAGGGGGAAGGGTACAACACAACCTCAAAACGATATAACGGTTCAGAATTCGCAAGATTTTTTTAGAATATTTTATATCAAATGTCAAATATGTATCCTCATATAAATTAATATAAATTAATTGCAGTCAGTTATAGTTTGACCATGAATTCATTTGTTGAATTGTCGCAAGCTGACTGTTTTTGCATGCCAAGGATAGTTTACGTACGTACGACGTGTACTCAGCGTGTCGTGATAGAAAAATGGTGATGGATATCAGTCAATTGCTTCTTCCTGGAAGGAAAAGAGGGATACATTTAACAGAACCATGCATGTACATACGTACGTGTTATCAAATCCTACAGCAACCATTCGTAAGTATGGTGTATATATAGTCATATTGCAACCTAGCTACGTACTCTGATTATACGCAGCAACAGTGAGTCAGTGATAAAATCCAACCATTTCGATTCCCAATCTGGGGTTTGGTCTATTTGTACCCGGCCTGATAACAACCAAGCATCCAAACCGCTCATTTTGGGAGATTCCGTGAGCATTATTCCATTTCAGCATAGAGGACAGCAGTACTGTTTTCAGGTCAAGAATAGACGGCAAGTCGGCAACATATTCTCTAATGTAAGGACAAGCTAGCCCACGAAAATTTACATGCGAGTCTGTCTGTAGAGAAAATATGGTCCTGTTTCATTAGCAGGTTTCCTGGCAGCTACACTTATTTATAGAGATTCTCAATAACGGTAGAATCTAGAAGATAAATTAATAGCCAAAAGGCTAAAGTTACCTAACTTTTATATTCACACCTGCTACTTGGGTTCACATACTATATATATCATAATGTTACTACCATTATACCATTATAGATATTAACGTGTGAGATAATAGGCTCAAATAGGGCGTGCCTAGTTTAAACATAATGAAAAACTATTATATTTTGGAATAGGCTGTCTTAGCCTTCGAGGGCAGCAAGGCAGGGTGACGCCACTTGCCATGCATGGGAGGAGACGAGCACAGCGTCTGTGACTGACTGGAGCGGTTTGGAGGCGCGCGGCCGCTGAAAATGGCCAGAATTGACTGGTGAGGAGGTGTAGAGTCGTTTTTCCCGGAAGGCCGGCCACTTCAATTTGTCGCAGCTCGTACGCACACCAGTAGACCACCATGCCGGCTATGACCGCCCACCCGCACGAATCGTCTCTAGCATTGTTGGGCCAAGGTTTGGTGAACACTCTACTCATGGGCCTCATCAAGGCCTTGTTTAGCCAACCCGAATTTCTTAAAGAAAAAGTACATATGAGGTCCCTCATCTTGTCATCGGATTACAAAATCGTCCGCCAACCGTAAAACCAGATATATATCATCCCTCAACTTACAAAACCGGAACACTCTGGGTCCTTAGCCCGTTTTGACCACGGTTTCGTCCGACGTGGCAGCTCAGTCAGCGTGAGACCCATCTAGGCCCCACATGTCAAGGTGTCCACGTGATCACCTCTCTCTTTCCCCTTTATTCTCACTTCCTTCTCTCTCTCTCTCTCTGTCACTCTTCTCCTCGTCTTGGCAGGCTGGCCGGTAGGTGGGAAGGAGATCGGCGGGGCGAGGCAGGAAAGGAGGTGTAGCGGCCGGCGATAGGTGGTGCTTCAGCAGCGGCGACGGTCACGCGGGATAAAGGTTGGGCAGTGGCGGTGGGAGCATGGGGGAGGCGAAGGGGGAGCATGGGGAGGGCTGGCTGCCCGACTGCCCTGACACCGCCGTGGCGCGCCTGTCCCGGCACGGACGAACTCGTCCATCTCCGGGAAGTAGCCATCGTGGCTGACGATGAGCAGCACCTCCCCGATGTCGTGGATGCGGGAGAGGTTGTCGATGATGAGGAGCAGCGCAGCACGGGAGCGGAGGCGAGCGCAATGGTGGGAGGAGGAGGAGGTGGCGGTGGTGGCCATAGCGGCGGCGGCGGCGGCGGCGGATCTCAAGTCGTGCAGTTGTTGCCTACTGTTGGCTACTGCATTCACATCTCGATTAGGCCGGCAAAGTGATAGAATTTTCCTTCCTTGCTTCTCCTTTTCCTCAAGGAGCGGCCGCCGACGCCGCCGTGCTTGACCTGTATCCGGTACTCGAGCCGGTCGTCAAGGTAGGCAGTGTAGGTGCGAACGAATGCGGAGAAGTCCTAGGGCTGTCACCACGTGCTCCTCCTCAAGATCGACGAGAGAGAGAGGGGGCGGGGGCGCCGAGGAAGAGGGAGGTGGAGGAGGGGTGCATGTGGATCTCGTCAGCCATCGCTTGCCCCGTCGTCAGGGTCCGTGGGGGCAGGGAAGTTGCTGCCGCCGCTCCTCCTCAAGATCATCGGGAGAGAGGGGAGGAGGCTGGGGACATCGAGGAAGAGGGAGCTAGAGGAGTGGAGCACGTCACCCGCCGCCCGTCGGGGTTTGTGGGTTAGCCGCCTCCCGTGTTGTCGTCAGGGCGCCATTTCGGACATGAGAAAGAGATGGCAGAAGAGACGGGAGAGGAGGGAAGGGAAATAAGAAGGGAGGTTTCACTGACATATGGAGCTCACATGGGTCCCACGTGGAGTGAGCTCCCACGTTGGACGAAACCGGGTCAAAATAGCCTAAGGAGCCAAAGTGACCCGGTTTTGTAAGTTGAGAGATGTTATATATTTGGTTTTGTGGTTAGGGGGTGATTTTTGACAAGATGAGGGACCTTCTTTGTACTTTTTCCATTTCTTAAACTTTCCAGCCCATGCCTACCCATAGTCATCGGCCGGCATTTTGGCCCAAGAGTTAAGGCCTATTTCTCGGGCATATGTCAATGGCCTTTTTCCTTTTTTTGCGAGGAATACGTCGATGGCCTTTGGTGTTGGATAGGGAAGAGTTGGAGTACAAAAGAGGCCTGAACGAGTTGACTCTACTGTTCTGATCCAAAGCCTAGTGTGTATGCCGCTGTTACTGTTTCGCCTTCTAGGGAATATTACTGTTCAATCACAGTCTCGTTCCTCCGGCCTGTGTACCGTGTTGTCAGCTTGCTGCATCATGAATTGATGAAGGCATCTATGCACTTGCATGCCCTCACGCAATGGAATAGAAAAGCTGAATTTTCCCTCCAATCGTTTAAGACTTCATTGATATCAGAGAAACTAACTGCTTTATTTAATTCTGTCTCCCGCGCAAAATCAACTACAGTACTGGTGTGATAAATGAGCTATTTGGAGTAGATCGTTGCTGCTCCTCTTAAAGCTCAACAGTTCATCATATCACATTAGCAGAGCAAAACGAGAATGGCCATTAATCTGGAAAACAAATTGACACAGACGAATTGAACCAGCTAAACTAGGCAAGCTAGATACTACTACGTGAAGTACTAACTAAGCACACTGCACACATGGCTACGGTGGCGACACGATGCTCAATCTCAGCTCGCTGTGCTCCACCACCAGCGTCCGCTTCGGCGCCGGCGACGTAGGAGGCTGCTCTTGCGGCGGTGATCTCTTGCGGCTCGCGCCTGATGACGTCTGCTCGTCGGCGCTGCTCAGGTGCACGCCGAACAGCTTGGTGCTGCCGCCGCCGTTGCCGCCGGACACCTCGTTGATGATCTTCTCCGTCGTCCGCGGCAGCCGCAGAGCCAGCAGCGTGGGCTGGTCTTCGGCCACCGTGAGCGAGCTACTGGACGTGGCGCTCCGGCCGGAGGCGCCGCGCACCTCGGACGCGGGCGCCTTCCCGCCCGCCGGCGGCGGCCGTAGAACGCCGAGGCCGTGCAGCGCGGCCGCCGCGGCCGGGCTGGGCGCCACGGGACGCACGTGGTTCTGCACGAAGTAGATGATGTCGCTGTAGAGCTTGCGCATGTGCGCCAGCTCCTGCACCAGCGCCGCGTTGCCGCGTAGCAGCCGGTGGTTCTCCTGCATCAGCGCCTCCTCCTCCGGCGTCGCCGCCGCGCGGCGCGCCGGTGCGATCACCGGCCCCAGCTGCGAGAGCAGCCGCGACGACGGCGCCACCGGCAACGCCGCGCTCTCAAACCAATGGCGCCGCTCCGTCGTCGTCACCAACGCGCCCAAGCGGCCATGGAGCATGCCATCCCCGTGGCGGAAGAAGGCACCGGCCGCGAAATGGCGCGGGGCAAAGAAAGGCGGCGGCGGCGGCGGGAACGGTGGCCACGTTGCCGCCGCGGACTTACGCCGGTGGATCTCGCACAGCAGCTGCTTCTCGCCCTTCCTGAAGAACTCGTTGGCGAACTCCCACCTCTCCGGCACGACCTTCCTAAACCCCTGCACGCGACACACCATCACGGTCGTCATTCCATACACCCTTCAAGCTTCCATCAATGGCGAGACGCCATGATCACGAACGTAATGGCGTACATATGTGTTGAGCTGGCGGACGAAGGAGGAGAAGTTGCTGTGCTTGAAGTAGTTGGGGAGGATGTCCCTGGCGAACTCCGGTGGCCGCCACACGACGAAGCTGGAGGCGGACTCGCCGCCGTCGTCGTCCTCCCACGACACGACGTGGTCGGTCGCGGGGTCGTCGACGAGCTGGTACGTCTTGGTCAGGAACGGCGCGGGCACCACCGACGCCGACGCCGCCGCCGCCTTCTGACGCGCCGCCTCGCTCTCCTCCTCCCACTCCATCGTCGTCGTCAACGACGTAGCCAGGAGCAGCGGCGACGATGATGGTGTCAGAGGTTCAAAACCATGCGTGCGTGGCTTTTATCGCTAGTTTCGGCTGGGTTTGGACATGTGCGTGGCTGCTGGTAGCCTCGGGAAACATGCGTGGAGCTAGCAACACACTGGTACTAGCACAGTGTAGGGGAAGGGAATAATAACTGGGTGAGCTGAATACGCATGTGCCAGCCTTCAGCCTGTCTGCACCTGCCTGCAGCTCGATCGGTGCGCGTAGGCAGCCGGACGAGAAAAACGGTGGATTTGCCCGTGAGAGGCCACACGGCAACAGCGGCAGAAATCACTCGCGAAACGCGATATGGATCGAGAGATGGGCGGGGCGCACCCCGCGCGCGGCTAATCCGGCTCCGTTTCCCCGTAAACTCAAGCGATATCCACATACACATCCGTTTTGTCCAGCTTTCCAGCGCGACGCGGCTTCAGACGTTCAGTCGCTACTCGCTAGCTGCTAGGCTACAGCGTGCATGCATGATGCATGTGTTGCACGCACTTCAGTCGCTGACACGTACGTACGTGCAACGGGGTATTTAACGTGGCGACATCTGGAAACCTGCGTCGTGTCCCCTCTGCACGACGCTGTTCCTGTTCATGCTGAAGAAGTGAAGATGCCGAATGCGCGACCACTGTTAACTCACAGTGCAACGGGACGACGACGCCGACGCCGACGCATATGCATGCAATCGAGTAGTACGTAGTACGCCGTGTTTGCCGTATCGACAGCTTTATGATACAGGAACGCGAGTTATTCCTTTGGTCGTATGGTATGGAGTACGCATGTGTGTGTGCGCGCAACCGTTTTTTTTTGACAAATTGACCCTTTTGGAAAACTTATTTCGAAACTAACCCCTGCCAAAAACTTCAACCAAAAATAGGCCGTCGCCTCAGCGCCAAACACATTGGTGCTGACGTTGGCCGTGTCAGCGCCAACGGGACTGGCGCTGACATTGTGCCACCGTGTCGGCCGGGCCGATCCCCAGCTGACGTGGCAGCTACCTCAGCGCCAACCGGACTGGCGCTGAGGTGGGACTTGGCCGCAACCCCCAAGGCCCAGACCAGCAAGCCTTCTGGATGGCTTGCGGGCTGGGACCTCAGCGCCAGCCATAATGGCGCTGACCATGGGACACTCAGCGCCAGCCCACCTGGCGCTGAGGTGGGACTTGGCCGCAACCCCCAAGGCCCAGACCAGCAAGCCTGCTGGATGGCTTGCGGGCTGGGACCTCAGCGCCAGCCATAATGGCGCTAACCGTGGGATACTCAGCGCCAGTCCACCTGGCGCTGAGGTGGGACTTGGCCGCAACCCCCAAGGCCCAGACCAGCAAGCCTGTTGGATGGCTTGCGGGCTGGGACCTCAGCGCCAGCCATAATGGCGCTGACAGTGGGACACTCAGCGCCAGCCCACCTGGCGCTGAGGTGGGACTTGGCCGCAACCCCCAAGGCCCAGACCAGCAAGCCTGATGGATGGCTTGCGGGCTGGGACCTCAGCGCCAGCCATAATGGCGCTGACTGTTGGAAACTCAGCGCCAGCCCACCTGGCGCTGAGGTGGGACTTGGCCGTTTCGGCCGTGGCCCAGCCCAGCAAGCCTTCTGGATGGCTGGGCTGGGACCTCAGCGCCAGGTGCACTGGCGCTGAGTTTGGACATGTCAGCGCCATTTAGCATGGCGCTGACGTCCCAGCCCTGCTAAACTTTAGCAAAACTTTGCACACAACAGAGGCAAACATCAAATCACAGAAATTTACAGGCAGTAATATATCCAGAGAACCATACAAAACATACATCCATCCATCAATCCCAACATCATTCCATACATCCATAGAATCCATCAATACATCCATATATGAAGTCCATATATATAAGAAATAAAAACATCCCATCGATCCTCGTCTATACATCCAGTCGAGTCCATACATCCAGTCCATACATCCATCGAACCATGCATCAAGTCCATCCATCTATCCATCCATCCATTGAACCATGCACTCACCTCCTCCTACCTCTAGTGCGAGGACGAGGCACGTCGGGGGTGTACCTCCAGTCCTGCGAAGGAGCCCGCCGGCGTCGTGGTCGAGACGGGCCGGGCTGCGAGATATCCGGCTGTGACGACTCTGGTGCGTCCTCTAGCTGCGAGGGACCGAGCTCATCCGCCTCCTCTTCTCTGTCCTCATCCCCTTCTTCCTCCTCATCTCCTTCCTCCGCCTCTTTGTCTTGCTCGCCCTCCTCGTCACCCACCTCCCCTTCTTCATCCCCCTCTTGGTGGGCATGAGCATGTTCGACCACATCAGTCGACCTGCAGCCGAGCCTTGCTGCCAACTTCCGACATCGCTGCCGTAGTCTCTGCATAAAAAATAATCCATGTTAAGTTATCGCTTTTGGAAGAAAACACCGTAGTTTCATCTCTTTCCAACGATTACCTGTAGGGCGTTGCGGAGGGTGCCGCCCTCTCCTTCGGAGCCAGGAGCCGTGCCTAGCGCCACTCCCGCGTCGTTGACGGTCTGCAAGAGCTCTCGAGCCTGTAGGATTGAAATGAAGTAAGTCACAACATATATGGCATTGAAATGAAATAATATACAACATTAATGCTAGAAACTAACCACTCTGTCGCGAACAGGTCCCGTCTCGACCGTGGTACCTAGACGGGTACGAGTATCGTACTCGTTCTGCTCCTCAACATCCTCGGGGTCATCCGCTATGTCGGCTAGTGTCCAAGCCGGACGTAGGACAAGACGGTAGGTCCTGTGGAGCCACGCCAAGTACTTTACTGACGCGTTAGATTCCTTCACATGGTACGGCCGGTGGACACGGATAGAATAACTCTGTAGCCATATTTTCAGATCATCCATCGATCGAAACTCCAACCCCTTCCTTGGTTCATCACACATTGGTTCGAAGGCACCGTCATATTGTGGATCCCCATCAGCAATTGCTAGCCCAGATCTGGTAAGATCCTCGAATTGTGTTATTTCCGGGTTTCTACCCACCAGTTTCGCAAACACAGTCCTTTCATGCTCTGACATCTTACGCACTGGACGATCATCATCGGAGTCGGAAGCGGACTCATCCAATTCATCCTCTGTATCATACTCCAACCAGCCTGGGTTCAATCCACTGCGTATCATAGCCTCCTCACACTCCTCTCGGGTATAGAATTTCAGCCTAGCCAACTCCCTTAGGCCCATACTTACATTCTTAGCATTCGCTTCTTCCTCAGGCAACTCCACATCATCTCCTACCTCCCGACCATCCTCAACATCTCCTTCCTCTCTTACCGGCACATTCTCCTCCACATTAACTTCCTCCCTTAACGGCACATTGTCCTCTGCATGTACTTCTTCCCTTAACGGCACATTCTCCTCTGCATGTACTTCCTCCCTTACCGGGTCATTCTCTTCCCTGACCTCCACATCCGCCATATCATTTACTCCCTCGCCCCCCTCCACGTCTTCCTCAATCAATTCTTCCTTCCTACTACACCTCTCCGACAGTTCGTGACAGCTAATGGGTGATTCTATAAGTTCTTTCTTCCCTATCCTACCATCTTTCTTCCATGCAAACACCTCAAGAGATTTGAAATGTGACCCCAATACTATATCTATATATGTTTGCCATTCGATCTCTCCATTCAAGTCTAACATAAATTTATGTGACATGACACCGCCGCCCACATCGTATCTCCCTTGCATACCAACCGACTCATCATTCCAATCCAATTCATGCTTGATGCGAGACATTAACTCCTCAAAGGTAGGCTTCGCAAAAAACACTAATTGTCTAACTGTCATTCCCTCAAATTGGCTTCCATGTGTACTTTCATCTACCACACAACCACCATAATGAAGCTGGACCAATCTATCCATCTACAATTTTAAACCCATGCATAAACATTAATTACTTGAAAATAATATGTAATTACCATTGCAATACCAATACTTCAAAAGCTAACAACATGTCTAATTTTTCCAATAAATAAGTACATTACTCAAATACTACACATTATTGATAAAAAAAAACTCTACTCCTACAAATTACCTACCCTTCACCACACATCAACCCCTTTCAAACCCTCTCAATCACCACAAATCCATCCCACATCCTAGGCCATCACCACACATCCATCTCCCATCAAACCCTAGTGCATCACCAAACATCCATCCCAAATATATTTTGTCAAATGTATCAATAACAACCAAATGGATAAAGATATGCCACTTCCACACTTCATCCCCACCCATATTATCCATCTAATAATCCATCCTTAGCCAACTATTATCAAACCACGTCTACAACCAAAACAATGCAAAATATCCAATAAAACTTTGGGGAACTTAGGGTTTATAGAGGGGTTTACCTTCTCTTCCGATCCCAAACTCAATGCCGCACAAATCACCTTCGATTAGAGAGGTTTTTGGGGGAGATTGGGCGAGGAGAACGCGGTGGCGACCGAACCCTAGGCGGGCGGCTGGGGAAAAAACGGAGGAAGAACTGGCTGGGGCGGCCTCGGCCGGGCTCTAAGTAGCCAAGGTCAGCGCCAACTTACTTGGCGCTGAGGTTGGGCACCTCAGCGCCGAAGCGGTTGGCGCTGAGGTAGCTGCCACGTCAGCTAGGGGATCGGCCCGGCCGCCACGGTGGCACAATGTCAGCGCCAGTCCCGTTGGCGCTGACACGGCCAACCTCAGCGCCAATGCGCTTGGCGCTGAGCCGACGGCCTAGTTTTGGTTGAAGTTTTTGGCAGGGGTTAGTTTCGAATTAAGTTTTTGAAAAGGGTCAATTTGTCAAAAAAACGGTGCGCGCAAGGCATTTATGTCGGGATTTCAAGTAGAAAGGCAAGTACAGTACAGTCATCCAAGTATCCAACAGAGATGATGGCCGATCGGGAGCTCCTCTGTGTTAGCATCAAGATTGGCCTTTCAGTAAAAAAAAAAGGAAGAGAATGGCAGAAGTGATCACACTTATCAGGGCCATCGACACAGCAGAGTTGTTGCTACAAACTTTTCTTTATACTCCCTCCGTTTCAGGTTGTAATACGTTTTGACTTTGATAAAAATCAAATTGCTTTAAATTTGATCAAGTTTATTGAAAAAAGTAATAACACTTTCAACTCAAGACAAATTTAAATTTATTATGAAAATATATTCAATTATTGATTTGACGATACTAATTTAGTATTATAAATATTATATTTATCTATAAACTTAGTCAAACTTAAAACAGTTTGACTTTAACCAAATTCAAAACGTCTTATAATCTGAAACAGGGGGAGTAGTATATAAAAATTATAAGTTAAAATTTAGTTTGGTAGACCGAGCCAAGTTTAATCATTTCTTTAATTATGGAATACATTATGGAATAGATGGAATATATACTAAAAGGACTACATGCATGAGAAGACCAAGTCACGTATACTGTGTATGCAGTAAAATGAGTGATAGATAGACAAAGGCAAATGCATATAAACGAAACACTAAGATTCCAGTACATGCTGATGTGGTGTGTGCGGTTGTATAGCAGATTGGCAGGAGGAGATCAAAAGGCTGCTCAATGGAACAGTACATAGAAGGGGGCATGTTGGAATCGAGCAAAATGTTGGAATGTGCAAGGAATCCAACTACAGGTTAATGTTACTCAACTTTTAAAAATGCTAGATATGAAAGGAGTAACTTTGATATCGATATATTAATAAGAAAAGATGGGAGAACATGAAGTCGAAGATAGGCCAACGTGCTAGACTACCCATGGTTATCTATCCTAGATATGGAGAGGAACTTTGTTTTTTTTCTCAATTGTGTAAAAGCCTTGCGCATCGATATATATTTTAAAAAAGAGGGATTTTACAACTGTTACCTGCTGACGTAGATCATGGGGGTTACAGAGAAGTAGGGCACGCTAGATTAACTAGGGAAGAAACCAGACTCCTGACAACAAGAAGGAAAGAGAAAAATGAGAAAGAACTAGTGACTAAGTGCCAAAAAGATCTCCTAGGAGCTTTGATATCCATATATTATGAAAATTCTATATAATAATTAAGTCGCATCCATATATTTTAGTGCTATTGCACCTAGGTGTTGAAAAAAAATCTGCAACATGCAGCACTGGCGGGTTTTATACAACTGTGCCATGTGTGGTTTCTCATGTTACATCACAATGAGAAAAGTTAAGTAACATGAGAAACCATGCTATATAGCACCACAAAGTATTATTCTATTATGACGATAAATTAGTAAAGTATTATTACTAGAGGACATGCGTTCTTGTTTCGTGCATGTGATCTAAATAGTTAGTGAAATACATAGTCGGTCTTTGAACTTGAATAAGAGTGTCATTTATACATATAAACTTCTAAAATGTGCATGTAGGCCTCTAACCTTGGTTTAATATATTATCCACGGTCTAAATATGGTGCAGTACGTTCGGTAATTGATGTGGCCATCCATTGATGAGAATTTTGCATTTAGGCCCATATAGTATACACTGGTAGAGAAACCATCTTTCGTCGGTCGGCCGATTTCCACAATAGTCCCGGATGCAATAAAAACCGGGGCTAAAGATGATCTTTAGTCCCGGTTCAAAAGGGTAACGGGCATATTTGATCTTTAGTCCCGGTTTGTGTTACCAACCGGGACTAAAGATCATCTTTAGTCCCGGTTCGAATGCTGTCAGGACCTGTCAGGCCCCCCCGGGACCTTTAGTCTCGGTTGGTAGCACCAACCGGGACTAAAGATCTTAACTTTAGTCCCGGTTGGTAATACCAACCGGGACTAAAGATCCCGGTGTCCCGGTTGGTAATACCAACCGGGACTAAAGATCTCGGTGATCTTTAGCCCCGGTTGGTGCTACCAACCGGGACTAAAGATCTTAACTTTAGTCCCGGTTGGTAATACCATCCGGGGCTAAAGATCCCGGTGATCTTCAGCCCCGGTTGGTGCTACCAACCGGGACTAAAGTCCCACCCCTATATATATGTCTTCTTCCTCCTCCAGCTGCCCGAGCAAGCTTCAAAATTTCTTCAAAAAAGAGGGGAGGTCATGCCAAAATTTCTATTGAATTTATTTTGGTGATTACATACAAATCGGAGGTGCCTAAAAGGTTTGCAACTTCATCCTCCAATGTTTTTTTTTGTCATGCTACATTTGCACCTATGTTTTGCACACTTTTTTTGTCTCCAAAATTTAGTTGTAAGTTGATGAGAGAGAAAATGTGTGTGGGGAAGAAAGAATATATAGAAATTTAGTTCATTTGCTAAACAAGGTTTTATAAAATAGTTGAGAAGGAAAACTCTAGTGAAAGTTAATATTAAATAATAGAAAACAAACTAAAATAAAAATTAAAAGAAGTAAAACACATTAAAATTAGTTTAAAACTTTACAAATAGTTTTTAAGAATTATTTGGTGTGATATTTTATGATTTTTTGTATGAATAAAGATATCTTATAATTATTGTATGACTGTCATTATTGTAAGAATAATTATTTGTGTGCGGTTTTTTTGACTCATGTAG